CGACCCTTTTCAAACTGCAAATGACGTGATAGTCACAACCACTTTTGGCGTTTCCTTGACCAATCGATTCGGTACTTGAGTGGAATCGCGCAAGGTGTTTCGCGTTTTGTGCGCGATGAACGTGATCGCCACCAAGATACTTCTAGCTCCCGCGACGCACGAAGCGACGGAAGTCTCTGCGGTACGAGGCAGCTCGGAAGCCAACGCCACGTCCATGTAATACCAGGTACTGTCAGGGGGGTGACAATACAGTGAATTTTGCGTATGATGTCTCTTACCTCTATAATTGTATATAATGTTTTGGGGTTTGATGGGATATTTGCACTGTATGATATTATACAAAGCGCTCCCTCATTGCGGAACCCCGGATCCGGAGCTTTGTTGTCTGCGAAATACGATGAGCACGCAGTTATGTAACGACGTGAGATCAATTCTAATTGACGCCGCCTTTATGTATATTTATGGCCGCATCATTCCTGATTTTTGCCAACTCGATGGAACTGCCCTCTTGCAGCTGAAGCTGCAGACACATTGTCAGGCCTCTCGTACCGGTAATTAAAAATCAAGGACGATGTCCATATATTACAATGTTCTGTCATCGCCCACGCTCTTTGGTCGCTTGGCACTCGTCATGTCCTTGAAATAGTTTCGTACAGGAGGGTTGGCGCGTGCCTGTGGGTCATCCCGGACGAGATTTTTTCGACTTGGACTCTGTCGTGGCTCTTCTTCGCTTCGCTGGTCTTTCCAAGTTGGGGTGGTCCCACTGGTACAGCTCCTTGATACTCTTATAGTGACCTTCCCCCTCGCTCTGAGGACTTCTCGCAGCTCGTCGTTGTCCATTGCTGAAAACGGCTTGGTGGACGAAGCGCAATTGGTGACGTTGTCGAGGTTGCTTGCGGCAGTGAGAGCTTTGTCAAGCTCTTCGAAGCGTTTGTCCAGCACTTCGTAGCGTCCGTTGGCTAGGGCCAGATTAGTCTCGAGCGAGGCACGAGCCTCACGTTCGTTGACAAGCTTGCGGCGCAGATCAAGAATGGCGTCTTCTTTGACCCGAGTGCACGTGCTGACCCAGCGTCCTTTCGGGATGCGTCCGCTAACGCACACGCCAGTGCAAGGTCGTTGACAGCAGCCAGTAGACACGTCGTGGCCTTGGATCGGTCGTCGTCTCGTTCAAGTTTGCACCGGTCTAGCTCACGTCTGCACTGATCGAGGGACTCTCGTTGCTCGCGCAGCTCAGCACAGACAGCGACCTCTTGCTCTTGACGCGCAGCGCCGCCACCGTCGCCAACACCCGCTGCGATACCACGGGACCAACGAGTGGCGCATACGCCCCCGGGGTTGGCCCCAAGTCTGGTCGCCGCACCAGCTCGTGAACCCGGATCGTCTACTGGGGGCAACTTGCGCGGCTTCACTTGCATCCTCCTTCTTCATGCGGGTTCTGCAGTTGAGGCACGCGAATATGCCGCGAGGACGGTACAAGTTCACAGTGCTTCCGGTGTTCCCGCAAAGTCTGGATTCGCCGTGCATCGTAAGAGTTCCTTCGCATAGCTGCTTCGTGGAAGACATTGGTGACGCCCCTGCAAGATGCCGTTGGCACGAAACGTTTCCGTATTATTTACAATGGTGCAGACAACATTTTACAAGAGACATAAATTAAACTACATTACTTGTTGCCGTGTTTGATATACAGTATACGGTACTGTCGGATACGAGAAAGCATTATACGGACTTAACAGCTTCTGAACATCCTCACTTCTAATTGGACAAAAAGAAACAATATTGGCCAATGAAACGTTTTTCTTCCTTGAAGCAAACACAGATGGCTTCCTCAAAGATTGAAACCGTCCAAGCGGTAGAACGCACATTCCAAATATTTCCTCGCAGACGGCCGAGCAGAATTGGGGGGTAACGAATGTATTGGTGCCCCGCCTGCCCAGTGGTGGGCGAGGTGGGTTAGCTAATTTGCTACGGGCTGCAAAATGCGGAATGATCAGAGCGGGGCCGCTCTGTGCCTTGGCTTGTTTTGCTGCTTGGACTTCTGTCCTTCTGTGCTTCTGTTCTTCTGTTGTTCGTGCCTGCTCGTCCCATCGCGCAGAAAACCTCTTTCTCTTCTTGAAAATGGTCCTATGATTGACCCATGGCTTGGCATGCTTCGGGCCGACTGCAGCGCTCTTTCTCAGTCCCACGCAATGTTCCCAAAGACAGAAATCGGCGTTGATGGAATCTTTCCAGACATGCCAGCCAGCTTCGCCTCGTGTGCTCTGCCACGTGGCACGAAGTGCATTAAGCATCAACCTGCACAGCACCAAGTGGAGTAGAAGTCAGGAGGAACAACCCCGAGTTCCCACGCGTTCCGCGTTGGCCTCGAGCCCTCCACGTGGCAATACATAGCTATCTTTCTCGTCTCAAATGCACTTGCTCAAGTGGGTGGCAAATGAGACATATCGGATAGATAGTGTGCAAGTTGAGACTCTTTGGGATTGTACATTTGACTGTTTCGCCCAGATTGCACTTTTCAACATTCGACGGATGACGTACCAGCTTGTGGTCGCCAATAAGAACTACACGACGTGGCCCCTTCGCGCGTGGGTCGCGCTCAAGGAGGCCG